GAAAACTGCTTAACCTTATTGCTCTATTTCTGGATTTCTCCTCATGGCCAAAGGCTGTTGAGATCCTGATTTCCCCCGGAGGTTTCTCATTTAGGAATGCAGTGAAACCTCTGAAATCCAGAGGAGTTGGGGAGAAGACCAGCTGGAATTAGGGAACAGTTTGAATAAGTTTTAAGAACATTCAGGTCTATTGTTTTCAAGGACGTAAGATCACAGATTTGGAAAGAGCCTAGCTCAGCCTGCTGCTCAGTGCAGGAGACCTTGTGCTTCATCCCAAACAGAGCTTCATCTGGGCTTCTCTTGAATGCTTCCAAAAATGGGAAGTTCACTATTCTGATAGATCATCTACTTCCTCTTTGGAAAGTCTTCCTATACCTGAGCTGGAATCTGCCTTTCTGTAAGGTCCTGCTTGCCTTCTTGTATTTGTCAGAACCGGGAATTTTTTTTTTTTTTTCTCAGATCATTCTCAAAAGCAATTATCATGCACCAAATAGTGGTACTTCACAGCATTCTCTTCTGCAGGCTGCACCATCAGAATATGCAACCCTTGTTTATATGGCAAACATCATCAACTCTGATTAGAAATAGAAATGTTTACCTCTAGTCTTGAGTCTCTAAATGAACAGCTGTATACATTCAGAGTGGAACAGAGTTTAGATACGACCTGTACTGGCCTCAAATTGCGGATGAGCAAATGGAAGTCCGCTGAGGAAAACTGCCTTATCCAACTTCAGAGAGAGAGAGTAGGGGTGGTTGGGAGGTTAGGGGGCTCTTTTCTCCTCACCCTGCCTCCTATTATTCATAACACAGAAGAATTTCTCAAGTTCTTGAAAGTGCTTAAGAAGTTTGTTATCTTACGCATTTAGAAAAATCCCTCCTTCAAATTACATTTGCCCTGTCAGTGAAGTACAGATTAGCACAGACTGAATTTAGTAGACGTTATACTGTCAATGAAAAGTATCATTCAAAGTGTATTAACCTTCCTTGCTCTCTGCTGTCAGAAAATCGTCTCCCTTGCTCTAGAATCCTAGCTCAAGATGGACAACATACCTATACAGCTACCCAGGCCTATCAAATTTCTGTAAGAGTCTAGCTACCTACTCAATTTAGGAGACCTTTCTAACTTTAGGGCTGAGCGTTTGCTAGGACATAGGGCATCCTGTGTTTCTGCTTTACTCTGCTGTGTTCGTTTTAGAGTTTCATATCCTCTTTCCATTTTAGTCTGATTCTCTGATAAGAAGTCAAAAGAAAGACTCAGAGAAGCAAACTAGGCACTCAGTGATTGGTTTCTTGTTCCAGTCCCCAGCAACCCTGCAGTCACATGCTTGGAAGGGAACATTCTTTCCTGCCTCGACCCACAGCAATCTCTCTCTTCTCTCAACAAAGTATTGCATTTCCAGTTCTTACACTTGTTCTGGCATGAATTCTAAGCTACCTCATGCTGCTTCCTGGTTTGCCTGGTGCTAGGCTCCATGGATCCTGGAATCACAGAGACCTGGGTTCTAGTCCTGACTCTACAATTAGTTGGTTTTATGGCTTTGGAAAGTTACTGAATCCTTCTGAACCTCAGCTCCCTCATTTGTTAGATGAGGACAATTATGCTACCTACATCATACAGTTGTAGAAAGGATATAATGCCTAACAGGTGTCTAACATAGTCATTAACATTTAGTAAGATTCCATAAAAGGTATCTGCATTGTATCATTAATATCATACTCCAAAAGGCAGAAACTGAAACCTCTACTTTTCTAATGCTGCACACAGTAGGTGCTCCATAAATACTTTGATGGATTCTGGTTTAGGCTCCATTTGGCAGTAGGTTCACCATCAGAAACATTCTAAGAATCATGTAAAGACAATTGCTATTCACAAGCTCCCTTTTCTCCAGATTTTTTTTTCCCATTAATTACTGCAGTGGGGAGGCTCACCCTGTCCTGCCGCTGTTCACACCTGTCAGTTTGCATCTTAGCAAAAATGTTCTTACTTGACAGACTCTGAGAACTTGCTGTCCAGGCAAAGAAAACTTTATGATGATGAATACAACACAAACCTTAGGTAGCCAGAATGTCAGCAAAAGAGAGAGGAAAGGACACTGACAAACCCAATCCCCCAAAAGAAGCAAAGCAACACAGCAAAGAGGTAGAAAGCAAAGGATTAAGATACGCCTGGAATAGGCTTGCTTATGAGGACCCTTAAAACTAATCAAAGTTTTTGTGCTTACAGTATTCCTACAGGAACCTGAATATGGTTAAACTCTCCTTTTAGCTGGGAATCTGAATTAACATGAATACCTAAGGTTTTTTTTAATATACCTAAATTTTTAACAGAAATTACATTAGATGTTCCTTTAGGCAAAGAGTATATATACAACACCAACATCCAGTTATAAAGAGCTAAGGAATCTCCCAGCTTCCTTAAAAGCAGAAGATATCCTAGTGGAATCTTGTTGCGTTAAATGAGCAATTCTTTTTTTTTTTTTTTTTTTTTTTTTGCCTCCCTTTGCAGATTACTTGTTTATGCCCTTAATTTTGTGTTAAGGACCCAAAAGAAAAATATTTTGGCTGAAATGAATGTGTTATGTTATAGCCCCAATTGAGGGTGAGGAAAGAACTCAGTGCCAATGTGTTGGAAAGAATGCAGCAGTTCCTGGAATGGCAGTCGGGTTCCCTGGCTTGAATCCCACTCCGACATCCTTGGCTGCTTACCTTGGGCAAGTCCTTTGCCTCACAGGGTTTCAGTCCCTTCAGATGTTAAATGCTTTCTATGGGCTCTTCCATGTCTGAGATCTTATGAGGCTACCGGGAGCATAAAGATTAGCAAAAGAAGCTGCCCAAATCTCTGAGGGTGGGGACCAGAGCAGTAGAAAGAGAATGTGTTAATAGGTATGAAAAGCCTTGAAGAAAAGTAAAAGCACTGTATGACACACACTCTCCAATCTGCTATGGCATGTTCCAAAATCACAGGCAACTAACAGTCTCCTGAGAGCTCAGTGCTCACCCAAACGCCCCATCATTGAGCTGACAGGAAGCAGAGAAGGACAATGCTTTGCTGATTGGGGACCTTGGCTGGGACAGAAAGGAACAGGGGATTGGAGTCAGCTTCATAAGCCAGTGAAATGGCAGTGAACCTTGCAGGCTGATCCATTCCAGCCTGGCATTGCCAAGGAGGACGATCCACTTCATCAAACCTGGGCCAAGCTCTGGCTCAGACACCCAGGCAAAAATAGAAAGGGGCTGGGAGAAGAAATGTGTTGACTTTTGTGATTTCCCCTAACGTGCCTCTTGACAATATTATAATCTCTTCACGAACAGAATGGCCCACAGGTCTCACCTCCATTGATGAACCCTCCCAAACAACTCATGTCGAGACCTAAAGGCTTCTTAACAGTTCGTGGTCACTATTTGGGCAGCTAGAAAGCAAGTTTTGAAAGCAGCATGACGGAATGGAAAGAGTGCTGGCCTAGGTGAACTGTGAAAATCTGCACCATCAAGTGCTTGCGTTAGAAAGAATGTATGTATCTGCTTAGATTTTCAGTTTCTACCAGTGACCCTCAACCAGGGGTGAATTCACACCTCGGGGGCTCTTTTGCAATGTCTGGAGACATTTTTGCTTGTTATAACCAGGGGGTGCTCTTGGCATCTGATGAATAGAGACCAGAGGTGCTAAACATCCAGTGATGCAGATCCCACATCAAAGAGTTATCTGGTCTAAAATGCTAATAGTGCCAAGGCTCAGAACCTTGGTTTAGACTGAAGTGAGGAGAGTCAATGGGGGAAGAAAACAAGGACTAAAGGATGGAAGAAAAAGGGGTTAAAATTCTGTTTCGAGGTCATGAGGTATCCAACAGTGACATGTTCTCCCGCTTTTCTCCCATGTCCAATGCCTTTTTAATTATTCCGTGGAATTACAGGGCCATGTTTGAGTAGGTTTTTCATAAGAACATCTTCCTTATCCCTAAAATTCCAAGCCCTGATGCAGTACAAAGAGCTCCACTATAAGACAGGGCCAAGACATAAATATAAGCAGTTATGAAACAAGTAGAACTGGAAGGTGGGTGGTGGGGGCGCATGAAGGGAAGAAAACATATGCCTATAACTCCGTTTCTATGAGTCAGTGTTGCTGAGGTAACAACACAGAACAATAACCAGGGAGAGCTGAGCTATACTAAGAGCAGGCAGAACTGATTTGGGGCACAAGTGTCAGGAGAGACGCAGCTTTGCAGCAGCAGATTCAAAAGCAAATGAAAGGGTTAAGCAATCTGTGCATGTCATTCCTGTATCATTCCACATTAAGTCATGGGCAGTTATCACAAGTAGTTACCTGTGGTTTCCAGTGGGGGAAGCAACGGCACTCCGGTCAAGGGGTTTTGGAGAAACAGGTGCAGCGAAGGCATGGTCAAACAATTTATTTACTGTAAACTTTAGACTTTGCTCAGGAAAACAACTGAAGCTGCCCCTCAAATCCCTGCCTAAAATACCCCGTGTAAGCAAATAAGAGGAGCGGGGGAGAGTCCATGTTCACAGCTAAAAGGTCCAAGATACTCAAAATCCTCAAGTTCAAGGGTGTAGGAAGGAAAATCTCCTTCGGATACAAATTACCAGCAGCAATATATTACCCCTAATACTTAAATAGTGAGGTAGATACATGGAAAAGTCATCAAAACATAGCAGACCCGGGTCCTCTAGGACTAAAGCCCTTCAGACATAAACTTAGAAGTTCCCTGCAAAGAGGAACTGAACTGTACAAATAACAAATAATCAAATAAGTTTTCTCTCTTTTTACAGCTTAAAAAAATAAAAAGGGCAGAAGGATGCCCCTCCTCCTGCATATCTCTATACAATTTTATTCTAAGTTGATTACACTCAAGTTAAATAGTCTGTTTAGTGTTCTGTTGGTTGGGGGGGGGGGTCCTATAAAGTAGAAAAACTGCTTTACAGCAGTGAGTCATTTGTACTATAATTCCTGCCTTGTGAATCAATGTTATCGCTAGGCACAGTACCTTGATGGCCCACAAAGTCTTCCGTGCCTGGAAGGTCTTCACACAGCAGTTTATTTTCTTTCTCCTGTTCCAGATGATATCCGCTCTGCTCCCCTGTGTTGCCGTTGCTGTTGCTGGAGTAGCCATTCCCATAGGCCTTCAGAGAAGACCTGCGCAGGCACAGAAGCTCCTGGAAGGCAATCCTGAAATCTGGGCTCCGACAGTAGATAAGGGGGTTGAAAGCAGAGTTGACATAGCCCACCCAATTTAGGAGGATGTAAACTTCCTTAGGGATGAGGTTATCCCGGATCACATGCACAATGTTGACGATGAAGAAAGGCAGCCAGCAGAGGGTGAAAGTGCCCATGATGATGCCTAACGTCTTGAGGGCTTTGTGCTCCTTCAAGTAGAACTTGGAAGATCTGCGAAGTCCATGCCCCGTCCGCCCATCCTGCTCCACCTGGCTAAGGTTCTGGGCATGGAAGCGGCCCTCAGATTTGTCAATCTTTTGGAGCTGCCTTTTGGCCACCTGAAAGACCCTGGAGTAGACGAAGACCATGATCACCAGGGGCACGTAGAAGGACACGATGGAGGAGGCAATGGCATAGGCTTGGTTCGTGAAGAAGTCACAGCAGGTCTCCTTGGCATAGCAGTTAATGGCTTCCTGGTGGGTGGCGCGGTACCAGTGCATCTGAATGGGCAAGAAGGAGGTAAGGCCTGACACGATCCACACCATCAGAATGATCACCCGGGCCTTATTCTTGGTCAGCAGGCTCTGGTACTTGAAGGGTGAAGTAATGGCAAAGTAGCGATCCACTGCGATCACGCACAGGGTCTCAATGCTGGCCGTGACGCAAAGCACATCAATGGAAGTCCAAAACTCACACCAGAAGTTGCCGAAAGTCCACATTTTCATGATAATATGGCTGGCCCCAAAGGGCACCACTGCCAGGCCCATGACCAGGTCAGCACAGGCCAGTGAAGTGATAAAGTAGTTGGTGACAGTCTGCAGACGCTCGAACTTGGCAATGGCTGTGATGACCAGCACATTGCCAAACACGATGGCCAGGACGATGAGCGACATGACGATGCCCATACCCACCACCCACGCCTCGTCCCGTTCCTGCGTGACGTCGTGGTCCGGCGCGTGGCTTCCATTGGGCGCTAGCAAGAAGGCGCTGTTGTTCCCGGGTTGCCCCATGGCGCGCAGTCTGGCAGGTGAGCGCACCGGCTGCCGGTGCCTCAGCTGGCGGATCCCCGGCGGGGCTCTGCGGGCCGCGAACCGACGCCTGGAAGCCTCATTCAGCGGCCGTGAGGTGGGTGTGGTGGGGTCACGTCCTGCACACTTAGCTTGTCGGGTGCTAGGGGCTCACGGTGCCAGCCAGTTCCAGCCAGCGCTCTGGAGAAGCCGCCTCGGAGTGCGCACTGCCCGTTATGTGCACAGGACTTTAGGGGAACTGCCCTCGCGGTGACGTGCGGGAACTTTCGGCCAATGGCACGCCGGCAGCCCCGAAGGGGCGAGGCACCCCTCCGCTTTCCTACCCTCCCCTCACCCTCCCTCTCCTGGGGCTGGCCCGGGCGGGGCCCAGCTGCTCTCTGGCGGACCGGCCACCACTCCTTCCCGGCTACCCGGGCTGGCCCCAGAGGGCTAAAGCTGGAGCTGGCGCGCTTACCAGTCAACCCGGGAGCTTTCGACTCTTCTGTGGCCGCTACCTGCCTGCCCTGGGCGCCTGTGTAGCCTGAGGTCTCAGGGCAAAGGGCAGCACACCGGCACTGCCCCACATACGGAGGGAAACGAGAGTGCCCGCCGAGGCACGCACATACAGGCACAAATACACCCCGGCAGACATGCTCAGACTTATACGGAACCACAGCCATAGACACGGAGACACACCCTCCCAGGGCACCCGCAGGCACACTCGCGAGCGCGCTCACACAGAAGCCGTCAGGCACAAAGTCACCCCTGTCCAACACAGAAACGCGGCCAGAAACAAACACAGAAGCACCCAGAAGCACAAAGGCATAGTGACACACAAAAAAGTAAACACACACGCCGGTTTAGAGGCATGCAGAGCGACACAGAGGCGGATGTCTCCATCTGGGTACTCACAAACTTCCCTCACCTGAGCACTGATAATGCCCCTCTCCCAACCTACACCTGGTAAGCCGGTATATTCCCTTTCAGACATTTGGGAAGACCGCAGGAGGTAACTTCAACAGCTGCCGATTTCCTCAGCACACTCGCTGTCAAGTACTTTCGGTGCCCTCCTTGGGAATTTGCAGGCATCAGGACAGTTTTACCCTTTGGATTTCATTCGGAGAGGGGGGTATGCATGTATGTATTTTGGGACAGAGAGAGAAAGTTGTGTGCTTTCGTTTTAGTTTTGTTTTGTTTTTAACTCTCAATAAGAGTGTGGCATCACTCACTCATCTGTTAAATCGGAGATGCACTGAGAATTCAAACAATTTCTTCAGTAATCCTAATGCAACTAAAAAAAATCCTTTCATCTGCTGGATAGTTTGTTAATCTTTCAGGTTGAGCCATATGAGATTGCCACCATTTGGTGTCTGTGACTTACCAAAATGGCAAATTCATATGATTCAGAGTATTAAGAATGTCTTACGATTAAGAACATTTTGGAACTATAGAAAGCAAAAGATAATTCTCCCTTAAAAAAATAAAGAAAGACCAAATCTCAAAACTAAGAGCTTTGTTCATGAAATACTATCTTTTGCATCTGGCATGTTACTTTACCTCTAAAGTTAAATTAATTTTCAGAGTTTGATTTCCCATGTATTAGTGGTGCCTTTGAAAAACTGAAAGTATTTCATGAAGTGTAACTAAACATACTTTGTAGATTACATAATAACTGACAATGGCTAACATTTATGGTCCATTCTGTTATGTGCTTTTCATGCATTTCTGTTTAATTCTACCCACCGTCCCATGGGGGTGGGGGTTATTTTTAGCTTAATTCACAAATGGGGCTCAAAGAGGAAAATGGCTTGCCCAGGGGCAATGGCCGGGCAGTGCTAGAATCTGGATTTGACCCAGGTCTGCCTGAGTCCATGACCCATCTTTTAATCTTTTCAATGTATTGCATAATTACATGTAGACAGGAGTGGTGGATAGGGAGGAAGCACTACAACTGGAATTGGAATACCCAGGTTCCAGATTGACCTAACTTGGTGCTTTCTAGTTCGCTTTTTTTTTTTTTTGAGAGAAATCACAAAGTACCTAATTTCCTTTATCCGTAAAGGGGCATAAAGTCACTTCCATTGGGGTGAACGAGAATTGAATGATACAGTAGTAAATTTGAAAGTGCTTTTGCACATATATATGTCACATGAATATGGGTTGTAAGTGAAGTTTATATAAATTACTTAGTGGTTTAGAATATATTGTTAGCCTTCTTTACTAGAACAATAAAAAACTTTAGGGCAAAAGTAAGCTGGAAGTAAAGTACTCTGGAAGTAAAGCTAAGAAACAGAATTTAACCTACATGTCCTCTTTAACTTTCTTCATAGCAGAGACGGACTTCTTGCAAGACAGATGCCTTAGAAAACATGTATTTCCCATAAAAGCCACAAATATTAATTAAGGTTCTATTATATTCACATAGTTTTCAAAATGTACTTACCCCATATTTGTGTTTTCCAAAATTGCCTCTGGTAGGATGCATTTTAGGAAGAGGCAGTGTTTGTTATGCAACAACGTTTCTTTAAATACACATCTACCCAAATTGTGGAGCTAAAAACCTCCTTCCTGTTTGTGAAGCTATGTCATAAATAAGAGTATTGTTTAACCATCCTATACTTAGAAAAGCACAAAGAAAACCCTTTTAAGACAAATATTAATTGATCATGTATTTAGATATACACATAAGTCACTTAAAAGTTTAACTGAATATTTTGGGAAACTCCTTTTTTAAAACCCACAAGTACTACATCAGGAGGGACTGGCTAGCCATAAGCAGAAAACTGAAACTGGACCCCTTCCTTACACCTTATACAAAAATTAACTCAAGATGGATTAAAGATTTGAACATAAGACCTAAAACCATAAAAATAATAGAAGAAAACCTAGGCAATACCATTCAGGACATAGGCATGGGGAAAGACTTCATGACTAAAACACCAAAAGCAATGGCAACAAAAGCCAAAATTGACAAATGAGATCTACTTAAACTAAAGAGCTTCTGCACAGCAAAAGAAACTATCATCAGAGTGAACAGACAACCTACAGAACGGGAGAACATTTTTGCAATCTATCCATTCGACAAAGGGCTAATATCTAAAATCTACAAAGAACTCAAACAAATTCACAAGAAAAAACAAACAATCCCATCAAAAAGTGGGCAAAGGATATGAACAGACATTTCTCAAAAGAAGACATTTATGCGGCCAACAAAAATATGAAAAAAAGCTCATCATCATTGGTCATTAGAGAAATGCAAATCAAAACCACAATGAGATACCATCTCATACTAGTTAGAATGGCAATCATTAAAAAAATCAGGAAACAGATGCTGGAGAGGATGTGGAGAAATAGGAGCGCTTTTACACTGTTGGTGGGAGTGTAAATTAGTTCAACCATTGTGGAAGACAGTGTGGTGATTCCTCAAGCATCTAGAAGCAGAAATACATTTTGACCCAGCAATCCCATCACTGGGTATATACCCAAAGGATTATAAATCATTCTACTGTAAAGACACATGCACATGCACATGTATGCTTATTACAGCACTGTTCACAATAGCAAAGACCTGGAACCAACCCAAATGCCATCAATGATAGACTGAATAAAGAAAATGTGGCACATATACACCATGGAATATTATGCAGCCATAAAAAGATGAGTGTATGTCCTTTGCAGGGATATGGATGAAGCTGGGAACCATCACTCTCAGCAAACTAACACAGGAACAGAAAACCAAACACCATGTGTTCTCACTCATAAGTGGAAGTTGAACAATGAGAACACATGGACACAGGGAGGGGAACATCACATACCAGGACCTGTGTGTGTTGAGGGGTGGAGGGCTAGGGGAGGGATAGCATTAGGAGAAATACCTAATGTAGATGACGGGTTTATGGGTGCAGCAAACCACTATAGCGTGTGTACACTTGTGTAACAAACCTGCAAACCTGCATGTTCTGCACATGTAACACAGAACTTAAAGTATAATAATAATAATAAAAAAAAAGAAAAAGTGCTTATGTCATCTAGGAAGTTCTGGGCCTTTGCCCTCCAGCCTTTATGAGTGGATGTTCTCTCTCTCTTCTCCTACTTCACCAAGCTGATAGAAATGTCAAAATGTCTGCTAACTAAGAGTCTTCTCCTGACCTCCTGTGTAATTACAGTGTTAGAGAAAGTTAGACTGGGAACGAGCTTAATACATCATTTAGTTTATTTCCCCTCAGTTTGCAAATGAGGATACTGAAGTGAAGAAACAAGAAGTGTCCAGCTCAAAGTGATAAGGAAAATTGGGAGTCCAGGTATGCTCCTGGCCTCACAAGTTTTCCCTGCCTAATGCTGTTGTTTTATTTCCCAGCAGAGGAGTTTGAGTAGCACTGCTTACTGTTCATATGGCCTTAGAGAGTTAATGCATGATTTGAACTGGAAAGTTTTTAGTAGACTAAATTCTTCTTTATCTGATGTAAGAAAAAGCAGGCTCTTTTACGGTGATTGATAACATCTAATTACATATTTTGTTAATCTCTTAAGACACTAATTTGTCATTTCCTGCCTGTCAAACAGGAATACAGCCCCACATTTGGATTTACCTAATGAATGTTTGAATAGAAGTAAGGTTCCATGGTGCCAGAGCATGCCCTCACACCAACAGCTAGATGGGTTAGGAAAATCTTATACTAGGTCTTGGTTTAGATGACAGTCCTTTCTTGTTTATGATCCTGGAGCACAGAAACATCTGTAGATTTCTTTTCAAGCAATGGTTTAAAATGCTTGTCTTTAATAATGTCTCTGTACAGCATTATCCCATTAAATTTACATTAAATGAGATTAAATTTACATTAAATGAGATTAAATGCACGTCAAGGGCTTAGCATGCTGCTGTAGAAGAAAAACCTTACTGTTAGTTTCTTATTTTTGAATCAAAAATATATATAGAATGCATATTGGTCCTATCTAATCACACATATGAAAGGACCCTTTGAACATGGATAATTGCTAATTTATGTTTAATTTGGAATTCTGTGAAAAATAATTGAAAAAGAAACAAAACTTGGTTCTTTAGAAAGAAGAATGATTCGAAAATTGCTATTATCATTGAGTCATATAGCTAGATGGGATGTCAGCGGTTTTTGAATGAAGCGTCTCACAATCTAGTAAGCTTTTTACACAGTGTACTCAGCAAAACTCAGAGCTCTCTCTAGTGAGGGCAAGCTCACCAGCCCCTTTTGTAGGTGCA